GGCGGTTTGCCAAAATAGTGAAGCATTCCACCTGCTTCAGGTCTTAAATAGAGCAAGAAGACGTCACCACTGTGAACCCATCAGGTGCAAAGTTCAAAGGCGGGGGTGGTTATCGTAATGACATCATAGATTAGTAATCAGCTAATTAGCATATGTTTCCTCTATAAGGAATTGCAGTAGTTAAGTCTTCTCGAAACATTAAACAACTCAGGGCCGGATGCTTAAGTCACGGCTCGGAATCTTGCTCGGACTCTCACGCTCGGGCTCAGTTCAGGCTTTGAGTCACTCGGTGCCTTCCAAAATTCCTGGCCCAGGCTCATCACAAATAAATCCTTAGCTTGGTTGGAGCCATGCGCAAAGCCGGGTCAAGTTATAAGCGTGGCTTTGAGCTGCCTCATTTGAGCCACAGCACCAAGCCTGAGCCATTGCAAAGAATATGGGCCCATCAGACCTGGTTTCAGTACGTGGCATGTGGTTTTTCTCTTACAACGGCACGTCCCCGTTTGTTTTGTTGTTGCTCAGATGTGGCAACCATAATTTAGTGCGCGCGTGTGTGTGTGCGCAATTAGTGCGCGTTCTGTGTAATCCCGCGTAGTGTGCGCTGCACACAGCGTGTGACATGTACGTAGTGTGTGCTGCACAAAGCGTGTGACACGTGCGTAGTGTGTGCTGCACACAACGTGTGACGTGTACGTAGTGTGTGCTGCACACAACGTGTGACGTGTACGTAGTGTGTGCTGCACATAGCGTGTGACACGTACGTAGTGTGTGCTGCACACAACGTGTGACGTGTACGTAGTGTGTGCTGCACACAGCGTGTGACAGGTACGTAGTGTGTGCTGCACACAGCGTGTGACATGTACGTAGTGTGTGCTGCACATAGCGTGTGACACCTACGTAGTGTGTGCTGCACTTGGCGTGTGACAGGTACGTAGTGTGTGCTGCACACAGCGTGTGATATGTACGTAGTGTGTGCTGCACACAGCGTGTGACACGCACGTAGTGTGTGCTGCACATAGCGTGTGACATGTACGTAGTGTGTGCTGCACATAGCGTGTGACAGGTGCGTAGTGTGTGCTGCACACAGCGTGTGACACGTGCGTAGTGTGTGCTGCACACAACGTGTGACACGTGCGTAGTGTGCGCTGCACAAAGCGTGTGACACCTACGTAGTGTGTGCTGCACACAGCGTGTGACACGTACGTAGTGTGTGCTGCACAAAGCGTGTGACACCTACGTAGTGTGTGCTGCACACAGCGTGTGACACGTACGTAGTGTGTGCTGCACATAGCGTGTGACACGCACGTAGTGTGTGCTGCACACAGCGTGTGACACGCACGTAGTGTGTGCTGCACACAACGTGTGACAGGTACGTAGTGTGTGCTGCACACAACGTGTGACACCTACGTAGTGTGTGCTGCACATAGCGTGTGACGTGTACGTAGTGTGTGCTGCACACAGCGTGTGACAGGTACGTAGTGTGTGCTGCACACAACGTGTGACACGTGCGTAGTGTGTGCTGCACATAGCGTGTGACACGTACGTAGTGTGTGCTGCACACAGCGTGTGACACGTGCGTAGTGTGTGCTGCACACAGCGTGTGACACCTACGTAGTGTGTGCTGCACACAGCGTGTGACGTGTACGTAGTGTGTGCTGCACACAGCGTGTGACACGTACGTAGTGTGTGCTGCACACAGCGTGTGACACCTACGTAGTGTGTGCTGCACATAGCGTGTGACACGTGCGTAGTGTGTGCTGCACACAGCGTGTGACATGTACGTAGTGTGTGCTGCACATAGCTTGTGACACCTACGTAGTGTGTGCTGCACACAGCGTGTGACAGGTACGTAGTGTGTGCTGCACACAGCGTGTGACATGTACGTAGTGTGTGCTGCACACAGCGTGTGACGTGTACGTAGTGTGTGCTGCACACAACGTGTGACACGTGCGTAGTGTGTGCTGCACATAGCGTGTGATATGTACGTAGTGTGTGCTGCACATAGCGTGTGACATGTACGTAGTGTGTGCTGCACACAGCGTGTGACACGTGCGTAGTGTGTGCTGCACACAACGTGTGACACGTGCGTAGTGTGTGCTGCACATAGCGTGTGATATGTACGACGTCGCGATGTGTTTAGTGGGAACACGAGAGGGTCTTCCGCTGCCCTCAATTAAGCACAAACACGTTTAGCGTAATTGGATGGGACCGTGTTTGGGTGGTGGCCGTGATCAGAATAGCAGTTCAATTACCTAAACACGTAAAGCCACTAATTTGTCAGTTTACTGCTGGATGATGAAGGCTTCGCTAGGCCAACCCGGATCATGGGGGGGGGGGGGTCATTTGACCATACTTCACCACTCTAGTCAGTGCGGACTGCTGAAGGCAAGGAGAATAGACGTGGGACCGTAGAAGTAGAGTTTAACAATGGGAAGCGGGGGGGGGTCTCCACTGGCCACGGCTGGACAGAGCAGCGAAGGAAACGGAAGAATGGAGGACAATGGGGGAGGCCTTTCGGCCAGCATTGGGAAGTTACAGACTGAGCACAACAGCATACACACAAATATAAATAATTGTCAGAATCCGAATCTTTATTTAGACTGGACGAATGGGATGAACTATGAAACAATGTCACAGATGTCCAGATGTGCACAGTATATGATGGACACATTATGCAATATACACTGGAGTACTGTAGATACTAAGAAAACCTTGGGACATGGTAAATACTGATACATATCATTACCATGAGATTTGTATCAATATCATTACGCAATATTCTGTAGATGCAATGGATACATCACACATGCTCTGTACAAACTAAAGTCACTAGTGCTTCGTGCAGTTCAGGATGGACACATGATATGGGCCAGTAACAGCGCGTTTGCTTCTTGTTGCAGAGGTACGTGGCTCGAATCTGGCAGGCTGCCCCGGTCAATACTGTGGTGCGAGTTAACTGTAAAGTACTACGCGCCAACTACGTCACAGTGGCCGTTAAAGATCCCCTGATGTCATTCGAATCGAGTAAACCATTCTGTGCTGGCGTCATGGTCCGAATAAAAAAAACCGGCTGAATTCCTCAGTTGGGATTCCACACAGCAATTGTCATTCCCTACCGGCAGCATATATCCATCAGTGAAGCACAACGTCTTCCTTCCTGATAGCCCTGCGCCATAGGAATGAAGCGAATACCAAATATAGTAATTTATTACCATTTATAGGACACACATTCCAGACACTTAGGACAATACACTCAGACGCACAAGACGCACAAGACTGACAGACAAACACATGCACGCGCGCAATTTTATCGCTGAATATTTTTCAGGGTCGGTGGTCGACTGCAATAGGCACGTGACCAGAAGCCACAGCCATATGGAGAGTTACACTACGGAACTGGCACACGCACACAACAACAACAACCTCCATTCGCCACTCAGTGGCGGTGACGTCACCACAGCGCTTGTACCAGGCTATGTGCACTTTAAGGCCACGTGAAGTCTTCACGAGCCTCCTCCACGGAGACCGATCTTGACACCGCTGGTACCAGACATTGGCAATTCCACTCAGCTCATTCTCCTCTCGTGTCGCATGAAGCCATCTCTTCTCTAGCCCGTGTCGCGCCCATTTAGCCTCCTCTATCTGGCCAAACAGAAGCTGCTTGGGCATGCGGTGGCTGGGCATGCGGGCTACATGCCCCAGTCAACGGAGTCTTGCCCGCCGGAGGAGCTCACTTATGGGACTGTGTCCAAATCTTTCAAGGATTTGTGAGCTCCTCACACAATCAGGCTTTGGATGGATCGTAAGCTGCAGGTCAGCCTGAATGTTTATAACCGGTGCAGATGTTCCATTAGAGGGGTTGGTGTTTCGCATGCATAGAGAAGGGAAGGGCATGACTGTGGCCGAGAAGACCCGAAGTTTCGTGTGGAGCGACAGACCAGGTAGCTTCTACACAGCGTTACGCAGCTGATTCAAATATGCCGCTCGACAGATTCGGAGTGAGATCTCTGCTGTCTCACCGGAGCTGGTCATAAGCACACTGCTCAGGTAAGGACAACTCTCATACCTGTCAACCCATACGGTCTACCCCGTATTCTTGCACCGGATAAATAGAGTTTGCAGGTCTATGTGACGTTTCAATACGGGCAACCATTTATTTTCTATTTGCTTGTGTTTTTTCCTTGTGATGAGACTTTGTAGGATGAACTTTGAGATTCATAAAGGCACACGGTGACTAATAAAGTCTGAATTAGTTTGTAATCAGGTAGGCACTGATAAGGGGTTGGACAGGTAGGCACTTTACTCTTTGGTTCTATTCGGTAAAGTCTCAACTCGCTCCACGCCCCATCATTGGGAGTTGAGGAGGTGGAGTGTCTTGATGTCACAAAATACACCCACACTTAAACCCCCACACACTCGCTCCATACGTACACACAGACACACTTCCCCACGCCCACACACCCTCCCCTACCCACGCACACATCTCCCTACCCACCCATATACATCCTCCACCTACACTTGCAGCACGCAGGCACATCATCACACCCACGACACGCACACGTCCACAATCCTGCTACACACACACATAACTTCCTCGAATACGCACACACACATCCACATCGCAATCACACACACATCCTCCCTCCCCCATCGCAATCACACACACACACATCCTCCCTACACACACACACATCCTCCCCCATCGCAATCACACACATCCTCCCTCCCCCATCGCAATCACACACACACACATCCTCTCTCCCACACGCACACTCGCGCAACACACACATCCTCCCTCCCCTCCACACACACACACATCCTCCCTCCCCTCCACACACACACACACATCCACCCTCCCCTCCACACACACACACACATCCTCCCTCCCCTCCACACACACCCACACATCCTCCCTCCCCTCCACACTCACACACACACACATCCTCCCTCCACACTCACACACACACACATCCTCCCTCCCCTCCACACTCACACACACACATCCTCCCTCCCCTCCACACACGCGCGCGCAACACACAATCCCCCGTTCGCGCCATGCAGCAGCAGCAGCAGGAGGCTGCGTGGAGCCTCCTCGCCCTGCTGCCGTACTGCCCCTGGCAGGCAGCGCAACCGGACCCAGCGCTGGCGGCCACAGCAGCAGCGGTGAACGGCAGCGGCGGCGGCGGCGGCGACCCGGCCACACCGTGGCTCCTCTCCTCGGGCTCGCTGCGCGACATCGCGGGGGGCGTCCTCGACGTCGCCTACGGGGGGGTCAACCCGGACATCGCGGGCAACGGGGGCGCCGCGTGCGTCGCCTTCCTGAGCCCCGGCCAGAAGATCGCGGAGAGCGCCCTCGTGCTCGGCGTGTCCCTGGCCGAGATGTGGGTGTCGTGGGGGAGGGTGAGGCTGTGCCTGGGAGACCTGGGGCAGCGAGGAGACGCGCCGCACCCACGAAGAGCGGCAGCGACAGCAGCGGGAGGAGGAGGAGAGGGAATCGTATCGGCAGGGAGGGGGGCCCTGCTAGGTGGAGATGGAGCGAAGAGGAGGAGGACTCCTCGCTGCCACGGGAGCTTGGCCCGCAGCCTCCTCCTCACCGCGCTGTGTCTCACCTTCGGCATCGAGGTCGGGTTCAAGTTCGCCACCAGGACCCTGATCTTCCTGCTCAACCCGTGCCACGTAGTCACGGCCATACAGGTGACCGCCTGTGTCTCTCTGTGTGTGTGTCTCTGTGTGTGTGTCTCTGTGTGTGTCTCTGTGTGTGTCTGTGTGTGTGTCTCTGTGTGTGTGATCTTCTTGCTCAACCCGTGCCACGTAGTCACGGCCATATAGGTGACCGCTTGTGTGTCTCTCTGTGTGTGTCTCTCTGTATGTGTCTCTGTGTGTGTGTCTCTGTGTGTGTCTGTGTGTTTGTCTCTCTGTGTCTGTGTGTGTAGCGGTTAGCACGCTGCGCTATGAACCTGGCGACACGGGTTCGATTCCCGCTCACGGCCAACACCAGTGACGATTATCTGAACCGGTCCCGGGCCTCCCCTAGGTCGACTCAGCCTAAAATGAGTACCTGGTGCGGTGTGTAAACATTGCCACTGGGGAGGCAAAGGCGGTCGAGCGTGGTGCTGGCCACCCACCCCCTCGTGTACCGTTACCGGCCTTCATAGGTGCTCGCTAAAAGCACTTGCCCCTACAGTCTGTTACAGGCTATATGGGGGATCTTTGTTTTTTGTCTCTCTGTGTGTGTCTCTCTGTGTGTGTCTCTGTGTGCGTGTGTGTCTGTGTGTCTCTCTGTGTGTGTCTCTCTGTGTGTGTGTCTCTGCGTGTGTGTCTCTGTGCGCGTGTGTGTGGCGAGCCGGACTTTGTACTGTGCTCGCTTAACTGCACTTGCCCCCAAAAGTGTGCGAATGCTATCCGGGGGATCTTTGTATTGTGTTCGCAGTGCCGTGCTTCACAGGTCCCCGCTAACTGCACTTACCCCAACAAGCTCGTGTGTGTGTGGTGTGTAAGTAGGTGTGTGTGTGGTGTGTAAGTAGGTGTGTGTGTGGTGTGTAAGTAGGTGTGTGTGTGGTGTGTAAGTAGGTGTGTGTGTGGTGTGTAAGTAGGTGTGTGTGCGGTGTGTAAGTAGGTGTGTGTGTGGTGTGTAAGTAGGTGTGTGTGGTGTGGAAGTAGGTGTGTGTGTGGTGTGGAAGTAGGTGTGTGTGTGGTGTGTGTGTGGTGTGTAAGTAGGTGTGTGTGTGGTGTGTAAGTAGGTGTGTGTGTGGTGTGTAAGTAGGTGTGTGTGCGGTGTGTAAGTAGGTGTGTGTGCGGTGTGTAAGTAGGTGTGTGTGCGGTGTGTAAGTAGGTGTGTGTGTGGTGTGTAAGTAGGTGTGTGTGTGGTGTGTAAGTAGGTGTGTGTGCGGTGTGTAAGTAGGTGTGTGTGCGGTGTGTAAGTAGGTGTGTGTGCGGTGTGTAAGTAGGTGTGTGTGCGGTGTGTAAGTAGGTGTGTGCGGTGTGTAGTAGGTGTGTGTGGTGTGTAAGTAGGTGTGTGTGGTGTGTAAGTAGGTGTGTGTGTGGTGTGTAAGTAGGTGTGTGTGTGGTGTGTAAGTAGGTGTGTGTGTGGTGTGTAAGTAGGTGTGTGTGCGGTGTGTAAGTAGGTGTGTAAGTAGGTGTGTGTGCGGTGTGTAAGTAGGTGTGTGTGCGGTGTGTAAGTAGGTGTGTGTGCGGTGTGTAAGTAGGTGTGTGTGCGGTGTGTAAGTAGGTGTGTGTGCGGTGTGTAAGTAGGTGTGTGTAGTGTGTAAGTAGGTGTGTGTGCGGTGTGTAGGTAGGTGTGTGTGCGGTGTGTAAGTAGGTGTGTGTGTGGTGTGTAGATAGGTGTGTGTGTGGTGTGTAAGTAGGTGTGTGTGCGGTGTGTAAGTAGGTGTGTGTGCGGTGTGTAAGTAGGTGTGTGTGCGGTGTGTAAGTAGGTGTGTGTGTGGTGTGTAAGTAGGTGTGTGTGTGGTGTGTAAGTAGGTGTGTGTGTGGTGTGTAAGTAGGTGTGTGTGTGGTGTGTAAGTAGGTGTGTGTGTGGTGTGTAGGTAGGTGTGTGTGTGGTGTGTAAGTAGGTGTGTGTGCGGTGTGTAAGTAGGTGTGTGTGCGGTGTGCATGTCTGTGCGTATGTTGAACCTCGTGCATGTGTGTGTGGTGTGTAGGTGCTCGCTAACAGCACTTGCCCCAACAGTATTTTAAGGCTATACAGGGGACCTTTGTCTGTGTGTGTAGTTTCTGTGCCATCCGTTGGTCTCTCCCGTGGCTTGCACACTTCCCGAGACGGCCTCAACGTGCACCTAGCCTGGCACAAGCAGCCGTACGTCATCGCAATTTTGCGGCTGTTGTGTCCATGTTACGTTTTTGTATGTGTGCATGTTTGTAGGTGTGTTCGTGTGTTTCTGTGTAACTGTCTATGCGTTTCCTTTGTGTGTAGGTGTGTGTTCCCTGTACTTTGAACTCATCATATCGGTTTTTAATTTGTTTTTGTAACTTTCTCACACGCCCCACAGTGGACATCTGTGCTAAAGAGCTTCGTAGATCATCGGATTTCTCCGGGATAAATAAAGATTCTGATTCTGTGTGTTACCTATTCATAATGCGTCCTGTTAATAGCACTGAACTCAAGTGTGTTGAAGGCTATAGGGGGAATCTTTGTGTGTATCTGTGAAAGTGTGTATGTATTGCGTGTACACGTGTTCATTCGCGTGTCTCGGCGTGCACGTATATAGCTGCGTGTGTGGAATAACACTTTACACAACAGTAATTGTGTGTGTGTGTATATAATTGTCTCTGTGTACGCACGGAGCGGTGGCGAATATTCTAACCGGTCCTGGGCCACCCCTGGATCGACTCGGCCGTTAAAACGAGTACCCGGTGCGCTGTGTAAAACATTAGCACGGGGGAAGACAAAGGCGGCCGGGCGTGGTTGTGACTACCCCCAACACCATCCTGGAGTGTGCCTTCAGAGATGTCTTTACTCTCAACAATTTGGCCCTGGCGGTCTGTTGATCAAGGCTCCACGAGTGATATTCGTCTTTGTGTATAATTGCATGGGCATGTGTGTATAAGTGAATACGAGGAGTTGTTGGGGTGACAGGGTGTGTGTTTAGTGTAGCATTGTGGGACTGTATGGGTGTACACCTATTGAGGTGTGGTGTGCCAGTACTGTAAGTGGCTGTACAGTGTGTGTGTGTCTTTGTGTACGGTAACAGAGCGTGCCCCAACAGTCTTGGGCATGAGTGTGGGGGTGTGTGTGTTTGTGTTTGTCAGTGTGTTTGTCAGTGTGGGTGTGTGTGTGTTTGTCAGTGTGGGTGTGTGTGTGTTTGTCAGTGTGGGGGTGTGTGTGTGTTTGTCAGTGTGTTTGCCAGTGTGGGTGTGTGTGTTTGTGAGTGTTTGTGTGTGTATGTGTGTGTGTTTGTGTGTGTATGTTTGTGTGTGTGTGTTTGTGAGTGTGTGTGTATGTTTGTGTGTGTGTTAGTGAGTGTGCGTTTTGGTGTCTTTGAGTTCGATTCCCGCTCACGGCCAACACCCAGTGACGATTACTCTATTTGAACCGGTACCCGGCTTCCCCTAGGTCGACTCAGCCTCAAATGAGTACCTGCTGCGGTGTGTAAACATCGCCACTGGGGGAGACAAAGGCGGCCGGGCGTGGTGTTGGAAAACCCACCCCATCGTGTGCCGTGACGGCCTTAATAGGTGCTCGCTAACAGCACTTGCCCCAAACAGTCTGTTACAGGCTATACGGGGGATCTTTGTCCTTGTAGACTTTAATGTGTGCCAGTGTGTGTGTGCATTTGAACACGAGTCTGCGATGAGCGGTGGCATAGTGATTAGGAGACTGGGCTCGTTTCCCTCCGCCATGGGAAAAAAAAAACACGTGGCGAGTGACATCTGAACCAATCCTGGGCCCTCCCATAGGTCGACCCCGCCTTAAAATGAGCACCTGGAGGAGGGTGCGAACGCACGTGGGGGAGACAAAGGCAGCTAGGCGTTTGCCCCTTTAAAGATGCGCTTACTATCTAGCAGCATCCCCTGCAGTCTGTGCGCCTGAATGGGGATCTCTGATTGTTCGTGTGGATATTGTATCCCCCTTGGAGTTGCGTTCACACGCCGCGCAAAAGGCCGAATCGAGCGAGTGGGATTTCCAAATGCGATTCAAATAGTATGTACATTTCAGAAGTCAGACCTAGGTGGTGGGTGTCACTTGACCCTCTGAACCACTCAAACCACTCCCGACAATAAGTAATATTTGGTGACTTGGAGAGGCTATCCAGCAGTGGATTGACCATGGCCGAAGACGATTATGAATCCTTTATTCAACAAACCTTAATGCTGCTTCAAGAGGGGAGGGTGCTACCTGGGATGGTTCGTCAAATTCATTTTTTTTAGTTACTGTGTTTTTCTTTTCCATGTGGGCAGTAGCATGAGCACCCGGAGAAAATACCGCACAGTAGGACATTAAATAACACACAACCTACTCGTTGGACTGCCTTATGTAAATATCCCTGCAGGTATGGGGGTAGGTTTGATATTTTCATGATCCACCAATTGTCATCAGCATCAACAGGCAGAGATAACGGTGCTTTGAAAGCAGTGCCTCGCATATAAATATTGAGGGGTAGGGAGTGGTGGCGCTGTGGTTAGCACACTGAACTATTAACCCAGCAATCGGAGTTCGATTCCAAGTCATGGCTAACCTAAGCGGCAACTAAAATCTGAATCGGTGCTGGACCACAACCCCCATGAACGATAGTGGGGGTAGTCTTCATTTAGCATTGTATTGACAAAAGTCTGTAAATTATATATTTTTTAATGTAGAAATTGATACGCAGTAACATTTATATCCACCCATAGTATGTGCTATTATGTGCGCATCGCATTAATTTACACCTACGATGAGCACATTTCACTATGTACGGTGCGAAAGAAGTCTAACGTACATGAATACATTTACACGCACATCGTGGTTGTCCCATAGAGAGATTGATCCCTGTGTTAGCAATGTGGAATGCCCACCGCAGAATCAGGATAAAAACACTGAACTCTTGTTTGGGCACCGAGATACTGGAAGCACGACACTAAGCAGGAACTTAGAAAGCGGTTTGCAAGACACATTTCACACATGGTTCATATGCAAATAACTACCGGGAAAGATAGGAAAGGCCATATTGTTGTGAAATATATATTTAAAGGAATGC